CCTCACTGTCCAGATGGAAGAAACTGAGGCTGGAGGGCAAAGTGATTGGTGCAAGGTCACCCAGTGCCTCGGGGCACAGCCGGGACTGTAGTCGGGGTTTCCCCACTTCTTTACAGACATAGAAGCTACCCCAGGCTGCCTCCTGAAAGGGGTGGGGTCCTGGTCAACCCTGGACCTTGGGCAGCCGGGGACTGGGCCCACTGTGGTCTTGAACAGGAAAACTGAGGCCCTGACCATACAGCTCTCCTTTAAGCCCTTTCGTGTCACATGGTTTCCAAAGTCTGCCACCCCTCAAGCAGCCTATATCCCCTCCTCTAGCTCCCCATCAGTGAGAGAGCAGCTCTCAGCCCCTCGCCTTCTTTCCTGTGCTCCAGCATCCTGGGGTCAAGTGGGTAACTCAGCTTCTTCCCATATTAGTAGGTGCATCTTGGGAGCTTCTGGATTGTCCTCACTGTGCCAGGGGCCAGGGTGGTTGTGACAGGAGACACTGCCTACTCTCAGAAGGAACTCAGGCAGTGGGAGACGAGGGAACCCCTTTGGACACAGATCCGGCTGCGTAATTGGCAGAGCCCAGAGCAAAATGAAAATGTGGGGCCCCTTGTTCAAACCTGTTAAGAATTTGAAGGTCAAGGGCTCAGACCTCTATACTGGCCAGCTGCCAAATAAATAAATAAATAAATAAATGAACAAAAATAAACCAAACCAAAAAAACGGTTAAGAATTTCAAGTGTGGGGTTTGCCCGGTCCCACACCCAGGAAGCTCACCCTGCTTAGCTGGGTCCCGAATGGATGGCGGCAATAATTGCTTACGCTCCATGAATCAAGGGTCCAGGAGAGGTCTTCTAGTCCCCCAGATACATGCTCTGCTCATTCCTAAACACATTGGTGTTTCCTCCTGGCCTAGGGTCTGCTGAGGGACCACGAGGTCAGCGTGATGGTTGGGGGAGCCGACGTTCCAATACCTTGTATGTTCTCTTCTCTAGCACAACGCCCCTTTCCATGCCACCCCATGATTCCTGACACTTTCCTATTTCAATGGGACAAGGCAAGTGGCGCGTGTTTAATGTTACAGATTAACTTTCAATCCGCACGCGGCGTCGCCGGGAGGAGCGCACGGGCGCCGCCGCGCTGACTGGTGAGCGGTCGCTGCCTTTCCCTCCTTCGCGGAGCCACCTCGGGACTGCGGGGCGGGCGGGGGGAGCCGACAGCCCCTAGTCGCGGAGCCCGGGAGCCGGGGAAGAAGGTGTCCGCAGCTGCGCCACCGGGCAGCTGAGCCAGGGGCCGGTTTACGAGGGGCGGCGCGCAGCCTGTCACTCGGAGGGTCCTGGGCTTTAGCTCCATCCACAATGCGGCGGCGGTAGATAGGACAGGTGCAATGATCCTCCTTTTGCAAAGATGGGGAAACTGAGACTCGGTGACTGAGGCTAATTGCGGGCCCAGGCCGCGAGCGCGGCGCTGCCTGCGCCTGGATCCCTCCTGCGGCATCACCCCGGGAAGGTGCTCGCTCATCTCCAGCTGCGGCCATCGGCTGGCGCGCATGAGTCATCTTGTTTTCTCTTAAATGCTCCAGCTCTCCGGAGGGTGTGTTTGTAAGTACGGTGTTGTGGGTTTAAACACATGCTGCAACCACCTAAATCCTACTTTTCTGCTTCCTGATGCACCCAGCGTGCGTCCGAGAGAAGTCACAGACCTCCATCAGGCCTCAGACGTCTGATTCCACCGTCTCGTTTTGCAGATGATAGGCTGAGGCCTGGGGAGGGTTAGGACGACTGTCGCCAACGTTAAACAGCAAATAAGTGTCAGAACTGAGGTTAGAACCGAAGTCTCTTGACCTTCCAGAATTTCTGGACCTGGTAAAAAATAAGAAGCCAATTATTATTATTATTATTATTTTTAAGGGCGAGGGTAGGAATTTAAGAGTTTGTACAGACACTTTAAGAGGATGCTGGTGGGAATGTAAATTATAATAACATTGGGACATTAGAGACAACTTAAATGCCCACACTTCTGAGAATGGTTAATAAACTTGAGTATATCAGGAAATGGAATACTAAGCCACAAGAGTGTACTTTGAAGGACTGTTTGAAGGCAGGTATGTAAAGGTTCTGATATATTAAAACACATAGAAAATAGAAAGAAGTATACTGCCATGCTAATGTTCACCTCTGGATGGTGTGAATTGCAGGTGACTCCCTTTACGTCTGGTTTGGTTGCTTGTCTTAAGCTTTTAACGTTGGCCTGTGGGGGCACCTCTGGCTTTGGAGATGGCGCTTGGCAGCCTTTTGGGAAGCTGGTGAATTGAAAGCTCTGAGAAAGTTGGCTGAGCCTGGAGTGGAACTGCTGTCCGCGTCTGCCAGACCCTCCTCCATGTCCTTCCCCTCCCCAGCCCCCTCGCCCACAGGGCTGGCCTTGCAGGTGGGAGAAGCAGGTGGTGGCTTAAGCCTCCTTCAGGGGAAGGAGGCTGCTTTGCAGTGTGGGGACAGGAGGCCTTGGCCTTGGGGTGGCTCGTCCACTCAGGGCAGTTGGCAGCCAGGCTCCCAGGCCAGCCCCAGAGGAGATGAGAGGAGAGAGGAGTGAATGCGACAGGCGGGCAGGTCGGCTGTGCCACGTGGCTCTAGCGGGGTCCTGGGCCAGCGTATCCATATCACTTGCAAGCTTGGTAGAAGAGCAGACTGTGACTCAGAATCAGCTTTATATCAAGACCCCGGGTAATTCTTAAGTGCTTTACAAAGCCGATCATTTCACTAAGGCAAAGCCACACAGTGGGGCAGACCATGGGTGACCCGTGTGCACCTGCTTCAGTGCCCATGTGTGTCCCTCTCCGGACACGCCAATCAGATACTGCCAATGCCCAGGACTGCTCCTCGGTCACATCTTAAAGTCGCTAGAATTTACCATGATGAATATGTTTACAGGACACTGGCACATCCCTGAGGTCTGTAGTAGGTCCAGTTTACAGTTGGATAAACTGAGACTCAGAGATGTAAGATTTCTTTCCTTGACTTGGTGTCAAGGAAAGAATACTGGACTGGGAGTTGGGAGGACTGGGTTCTCACCCTGGGATGCCACAAGCTTGCCGTGGGCCTTGGGGAGTCCTGTGCTGCCTCTGGGCTCTGGCCTCCCCTCTGAGGTGGAGGGGTTGGGCAGAATGAGCCCTTTCCCACGTCTAAGCTTGGTAGCTCACCAAGGACCCCGTACCAGCTGCACAGCCTCCAGACTCCTCATCCAGGGCTCTTGCCTTTGGCTGCCCTGCCTCTCTGTCCTCCGGGTCCCCGTCTTCTGGGAGGAACTTATTTGGGAAGATCTTATATGGATTTCTCAGAAGTTGTTTTCGGGGCCCTCTCCCAGATGGGTTTTTCTGGCTGGCTTCATCTCTCTGGCATGACAAAGGCTCTGTCCCTGTTGAGGCATTTCAGGCCTCAGTGAGCAGCTGGGGCACAGCCTGTGGGACTGGAGCCTTCCTGGCAGGCCTGAAAACGTGCCTGTCTCAGCCACCCACGCCATCCTTGGGGAAGGCTCTGCTTCTTTGGGAATCAAATTCTTTCTACGAGAGGCTTTCTTGCTAATGCTCCCTCCAATGTCCAGATGGGCCTGCTGGGCTGGGCAGTGCCTGGATGTGAACCATTTTTGGGGGGGAACGGGGAATGTACCTCCTCTCCCTTCTGTTGTGGGAAATGGGTGCGATCAGATAAGCAGTTCCGGATAGGGTGGGGGCTGCAGGGGGGAGGGCTTTCTGTTTTATGCAAACAACTGCAGCTTCTGGGAAAGAGCCCATTGTGTAAGATAGGGCTGTGGCCTGTGTCCCCCAGTGCAGGGCCAGCCAGCTGTGTGTGGCTGGAACACCTTGGCAGGGCACGCCGGTGTGGGCTTAGCGGGCATGGGCTGTGTGAAAGGGACGTGGCAGAGCACAGAGCAGTCCTCGCAGGGCAGTCTTTGCAGGGGGCCTTTTCCTGGGGAGCCTGCTCTGTGGGCTCACTGTTAACCCTTTTCCTCCCTCTTCCCTCTCCACTCCCTGAAGAGAGGTGTCCTCTCTTTCCACTCTGTTCTTTCTTTGCAGCCCTGAATCCCCATGTAGCTTGGCTCAAGTCTCACCCTAGGGAGGGCAGATGGATTTAACTTCCTGTTACTGACTCAGACTCTAAAAAAAATTTTTTTAACGGATATATAATAATTGTACATATTTATGGGATACACGTGATAATTTGATGCATATATGCAATGTGTAATGATCAAATTATAGTAATCGGGATATCAATCTCCCCATACGTTTATAATTTCTTTGTGTTGGGAACATTCCAGATCTTCTCTTCTAGCTATTTTGAAATATACAATAAGTTATATTTAACTACGGTCACCCCAGTGTGCTCTCGAACACTAGAACGTATTCCTTCTGTCTAACTGTATTTTTGTACCTGGACTGACCTTCCTCCACCCCCCCCCTCCCCTAGCCAGCCTCTGGGGACCACTGATCTACTCTCAAACTCCTTGAGGTCAACTTTTTTAGCTCCCACCTATGAGTGAGGACATGTGGTATTTCTCTTTCTGTGCCTGACTTATTTCACTTAACACAATGTCCTCCAGGCTCACATCCTTTTTTTGTGGCTGACTAGTATTCCATTGTGTATACACACCCTGTTTTCTGTAGCCATCCGTCCACTGATGGACGCCTAGGTCCGTTCCCTATCATGGCTGTGTGGGTAGCGCTGCCGTGGTTGTGGGCGCGGGAGCTCGTGCGCCCTCAGGCTTGCACTGTGTTATGGGCTCCTCTGTCTTCCCTGTCCTGCTTCTGGCCACCAGCTGCCTTCACTTTCTTCTGAAGGTGTCAAAGGCACATCTGGTCTTTTCTCCCAATTTCCTCAGGGATAAAAATGCCAGCTGAGGGGGCGGCAGAGGACAAGAGTCCCCCAGGCCCCTGGGAAGCTGCTGCAGGCAGTGGGCTGGGCAGGATACCAGCTGCCACCTCGCTGTTACCATGACGGTCTCCTGTTCTCTATAAACAGAGGCAGGCGAGGGTTCCAATTCTGGAAGAAGAAGGCACCATGAGGACTCTGCTGCTGCTTGTGGGGCTGCTGCTGACCTGGGAAAATGGACAGGTCCTGGGAGACCCAGCGGTCTCAGAAAGGGAGCTCCAGGGTAAGTAGACCGAGCGCGACATCCCTGGGCACTGGGTCTGGACTCCCGCTTGCTGGCCTCGGCTCTTGGCATGTGGCTCCAGGCCCTTGCAGGTGCTCCCTGGCCCTCCTGGCCGCCGTATTTCGTCCGGCTGCTCCCACTCAGTCCCCTCAGCCCGGCCCCCACGCCGCCTCCCCGAGCCGCACGTGGACCCTGCGAGGCGATCCGTCCTTTGTGAGCATTGGTGGCTCTTACCAGCGTGTCCACCACTTTCCATCCCGAAGACCAGGCTCCCAGGACTGGGAGGGGAGACAGTTCAGATGAGGGCCCACCGTGCCCAGAGCCCAGTCGGAGGTCCCCGCCTCCATGAGGCCTTTCCTGAAACCCGTCTCCCTCCTCCTGTGAGCCAACCATTCTGCGGGGCAGTCATCAGAAACCCAAACGGCCAGGGCACACCTGGGCATGAGCCCGCTCCACCGCGCCCTGGGGCAGCCTCTGTCCAGCTATCTTGGTCTCACACGCCTCTTTTGTGTGTGTGTGTGTGTGTTTTTCTCCCAGCTTAATTGAGGTATAATTAACAAATAATAATTATGTATATTTAAGGTGTAAAATGTAATGTTTTGATAAACATATACATTGTGAAATGAATACTGCTATGAAGCTAATTTTGCATATCTAGCTCCTTCCATAGTTACTTTTTTTGTGGAAAAGAATTAAGATCTGCTCTCTTAGCAAATTTCAAGTGCACAATAAAGTGCTATTCACTACAGTCACCCATCGCTTAAGACGTCCTTCGGCAGTTTCACTGTTGTGCAAACATCACAGAGTGCGCTTTCCCAGACCTGGAGCCCTCTGCACGCCTAGCGTGTATGCTGGAGCCGTTACAGTCCTGTGTGACTGCTGTCGCATATGCGGTCCATCCTTCACCGGAACGTCATCATACGGCGCGTGGCTGCAGAGGTGCCGTCTGCACACTGGGTCCCCAAACCGACTCATCCTGCCTATCTGAAACTGGGTGCCCTGTGACCAGCACCCCTCGTTCCTATTCCTTCTCCCCCTGCACAAGGTGGGCATGACGATGGTGCCGGGAGTCTTAACTGAAACCACGTGGAGTGTTGGCAGTGCTTGAGTGACACAGTGTCTTAGTGCATTTATCACCGGTGTTGTGCCTTGATGACAGTCTCCCTGAGGACAGTTTCATGCGTTCCTCTTCCCGTCCCTCTCATTGGGCACCATGCTTTAGGACGAAGAAGTAAAAAATGTGTGATTAAACTGAATTCCAGAAAGATTCATACCCAAAATAACAATATTTTATATCCTGATGCTTAAAAGGCTACACTTCTGGGTTTGTTTTTTATTTTCCTTGCCAAATTTCTTCTGTGGCCTGGCTTGTTCTCCAGGACCCCAGGTCAGGCGTGTCATACCACTGTCCCCTCTCTGGGGTATGCTGCTCCTGTGGTTTGCATTTCTGAGCAGAAGGGTGTAGTCGACAAGGAGCCCCGTGGTGGGAACCTGTGTCAGGGTTCAGCTGGGGCCACAAGGTGCCTGCTGGTGTGCGGAGGGGGGTCCCAGCCTTGGCAGCCCCTGCATCAAGCCGGCCTTTCTGACCACTCCGGGTGGGAACCTGTGTCAGGGTTCAGCTGGGGCCACAAGGTGCCTGCTGGTGTGCGGAGGGGGTCCCAGCCTTGGCAGCCCCTGCATCAAGCCGGCCTTTCTGACCACTCCGGTGGGTCCCAGGGTGATATCCCCAATGCCCTCTCTTCCTCCTCTCACCTCTTCCTACCTCCTGCCCTTCTGCAGAAATGTCCACTCAGGGGAGTAAGTACGTTAATAAGGAAATTAAAAATGCTGTCAACGAGGTGAAGCAGATAAAGAGTCTAATTGAAAAAACAAACGAAGAGCGCAAGTCACTGCTCAGCATCTTAGAAGAGACCAAGAAGGAGAAAGAGGTGAGGGGGAGCTGGGCCACCACTGCCCTGCCTTGACCCTCCCTGCTGGAGAGGGGAGAGGGGGTGCTGGTGGGGGTGCCTCGCTGGGTTGCCAGGGTAAGCCGCAGTCCTCCCAGGGCTGTGTCAGCTGATGCTGGGGCTGTAGTCAAGAAGTAGGGAAGGTCTATTCACTTCTGAAAGCTTCAGGGGGTGAGATCGTGGATCTGCTTTTGTTCAGGCCCAGCCCAGGGACGGATGCCCAGATTGGTTTCAATAGATTTTTCTAAACCCTGGTGATGTGCAATAGTCTCCATGGTAGGCTCTGGAGAGAGTGGCGGCAGGGGTCGGGAGGGGTTGTGCCCTACCTTCAGGAATCTTATCTAGGAGGGGCCATGCCGCTGGGGTTGAGGTAGGCACACACGGCAGGCCCCGTGGCTTTCTAGAGTTCCTAGACTCTAGAGAAGTGACACCTTAAGCCGATGGTTGACCTAGCAAGTTTAGCTGGTGTCTAATGATTCAACAAAATGAAAACACTATAATTCAATAAACAACTTATTTAAAAAATCAATAGTCTCCTTAAAGGTATCCTAAAACCCTGCTCCCATTGCCACCCTATCCCTAATGAAAGACATGCTAGGATGGGGCCACCTGCCACCTTCATGATCCATCATGTACATTGAAAGCATTTTGAAGGTTCTGAGAAGTTCTGCACTAAAGAAACCCATGTAAGTTCATTTAACACAGAGTTTCCAAATCTAATTGACTGTGGAATACATTTCTTTCTTTTTATTTTTATTTTTTCCAGCTTTTAGCATAATCCCATGGAAGCTACTTAAGGGAATGCTGGCCTGGAAGCAGCTTTAACTTTCTTTTAAACTTAATGCCCTCTCTTGGCATCAGTATTAGTTGCTACTGTTCTATGAGAGTCTCCACATAGTTCATGGAGGAGGGTCAAGTCTGGTTCTCAGATTTTTGTGGTTATCATTGGAGTCTGATATTTGACAATCCAGGCTTTGTTATAAAGCACACAAAGTTTGGAAAAAGACTGCGTTACTTCTTAGTTGAGGAGTATGTGAACCAGAGAGAAAGCACATGAGCAGCATAGCTGACGCTTGGGTTTTGGCACAGTGGGAGGTGGGGCGACCTGCCCTTCCCCTGCAGGGGCTGACAAAGCAGGAAAGCCCCAGCATAACTCTGCCCACTACCGAATCAGATCTTCATAGAGCAGCTTTGCTGGGGTGTGGATATCTACTTAATTTTTTTTTAAAGAGTAATACACATTCATGGAGATTTTGGTATAGAAAAGTAGAAGAGGAAAAGTTTTTCCACAATCCTTTTACCCAAGGATAATTCACTGTTAACATTTCATCTATTTTTTACTATTTTTCTCCATAATTTTTTGATAGTGGCTTTATTCAAAATTATACATTCTTAACATGAAAAATGCTTAATATTTAAAACTTATTATAAACAGCCCTTGTAAGGTTCACTTTTGAACCCTTTGTATGCCCCAAATTTGCTTTACTTGTCCCTATTTTTGAGCATCTGGGTTGATTCTGATATATATATATATATATATATTTTTTTTTTTTGCCATCAACTAAAAGTGTAACACATCTTTAGGCATAAGGATTTTTTTTGTTTGTTTTTATTGTGGGAATCCTTGGGATAGATTCTTATAAAATTCCTGGGTCAAATGACGGGCACGTTAGAGTTTGGATAGTTGATGCCATGTGGTTTTGGAAGCCTGCCGATTCCCTTTGCATGCCGGGGACCAGGGTTGCAATAGAAAAATGAGGTTCGGGGAGCCTCCAGCCTGCTTTGGAAGAGGACATTTAAACACCAGAAGTTGAGACTAGAAAATGAGATATAAATGAGAGGTAACTCTTGGGGTAAAGACTGTCAGTGCATACATCAGAAGGAGGTGTCTGCATGGGCTCTAGGAGTTAGAAGGGACTTTAGGGAACTGTTGGGTCTTGAAGGATGAGAGGATTTGTAAAGCAGGTGGGGCAGGAACTCCAGGGAGGCAGATGAGGGAAAGCAGAAACTGGAGCAGGGGTGGAAATAAGCACACTGTGTGGCCTGACTGAGGGAAGGCCTGCCCTCTCACGCGACCTCTTGTCTTCCCGCAGGATGCCCTAAATGAGACCAGGGATTCCGAATCCAAGCTGAAGGAGTCCCCGGGTGTGTGCAATGAGACCATGCTGGCCCTCTGGGAAGAGTGTAAGCCCTGCCTGAAGCAGACCTGCATGAAGTTCTATGCACGCGTCTGTAGAAGCGGCTCAGGCGCAGTCGGCCACCAGGTGAAAAGAGGACACGCGCGTGGCCTGGGCTGAGTGGGGAATGAGGGAACCCGGGGAAATAGGTTTCATTCCACATGCCAGATGCAATTGATTAGTCCTGGCTGGCTGCACTGGGGCCCAGAGTGCTGTGATCCATTGGTAATGTCTGCTCCGTGTGCAGACATACGGAGTCGTCACGAGTGTGCATGTCAGGTATTTGCCATCTCTTAGAAGACTCATCCAGCAATGATTAGCTGGATGACATAACAAAGAGCTTGGTGGTATGGCAGAACCCTGTGTCCACTTAAGCAGAAGGAATTAAGCATTTTTAGTTTTATCAGTATTGATCCCATCCTCAGCTGCAGGCCCGTCTTGGTTGGGACTTAGTGGATTTTGCTGTTCCTTGAAGGCATATCGGTTGGCCTTCAGCTAACCAGGGGTGGGTATCATCGGTGGCCAAAGAAGACAGTGGGTAATCTGAACTGCCGGGGCCTTATGATTCTCTTGGCCTCACTGGTGTAAACCCTCCATCACCAGGGAGATAGGAGGGCCTTGGCCTAACACTTTGGATACCTGGGGGCCAGTCCCAGCTGGGCCTTCGGTCACTTGCGGTGTGGCTTTTACAGCGAGGGCAGGGCCTGGCCTGTCTCACTGGCTTAGTGAGCTTCTCCTAACTGCCTGCTTTGCCTGTCCCAGCTCGAGGAGTTCCTGAACCAGAGCTCGCCCTTCTACTTCTGGATCAACGGCGACCGCATCGACTCCCTGCTGGAGAATGACCGGCGGCAGACCCACATGCTGGACATCATGCAGGACAGCTTCGACCGGGCGTCCGGCATCATGGACGAGCTCTTCCAGGACACGTTCTTCAGCCGCGAGCCCCAGGACACGTACCACTCCTCGCCCTTCTTCTTGACCCACAGGAGGCCTCACCTCCTCTATCCCAAGTCCCGCCTTGCCCGCAGCTTAAGGCCATTGCTCCCGTACAGACCCCTGAGCTTCCAGGACATGTTCCAGCCCTTCTTTGACATGATACACCAGGCTCAACAGGCCATGGACATCCACCTCCCCAGCACGGCCTTCCAGCCCCTGAAGGAAGACATCATAAGAGGTTAGAAAGATGTCTCCTTTCCCCAAGAGGCGTGGGAACTGACAGCTCACGGAGCGACCCTTTAGATGCTAAGAACCGTGTTGCAGGCTAGGCGTGTGTCGCCTTGGTTTTTCCCTGGTAACCCTGTGAGGGTGGTGGTATCCCCACTGGAAGAGGAAAAAAAACTAAGTGGTAAAGGAATGTGTCCAAGGTCCCACGGCTGGTAAAGTGGGAGCCAGTCCAGTGTCATACTGCAGGGCTTAGAGTCTGTGTTCTTTCGGTCCGCCTTCCAGCCACTGCTAGGTATGACATTGAAACTCCTCCTACAGAGCCAGAACCCCCTTCCCTTGGGAACTCAGGGGCTTTGTGTGGAAGCCATGCGTGTACTGGTGACAAAGTGTATAATCTGTCCATGTCACAGTTGAGGAGGCCGTTGATGGCTGTAACCTTAGGACCTGGTACAGAGTGAGCGCTCAATGCATATTTTTTGAATGAATGAAGTCTAAAGTGGACAGGAAAAGCCATTACTTTTCGGAGTGACTTTCTTCATAGACACCATAGGTGTTTGTTGGCCAGGGCCATCTCCTGTATGCTGCGGTTTGACTGGCACCAGGGTTTGGCTTGAAGTGGTTTGGAAATACAGGAGGGTCTTGAGTTACATAAGCAGCTACTATGTCTCTGTTGGGGGGACCTGTGGTGTGAGGAGGTGCTGAGGGGCATTTGCTCTGCCCCCAAGGGGCTTGCTCACAGCTGGGGGCAGCAACGAGCGGACAGAATGCAGAGCGGGGTGGCTTCTGACACCAGAGAGGCAGGAGAGGTCCCACAGGTGGAGGTGTGGGGAGGTAGGCCATGCCCAGCTAAAGGAGCCCCGAGCAGAGGCAGACACAGGCCAACCCGCCCTGGCCACAGAATCGCCTCAAAGGGTCGGATGGTGGTTTGGGAGGGCCAGAGATGTCGGTGGCCCTCCCTGTGGTGCTTGGTCCTCAGCCTGACCCCTGCTTCCCTCCCGTGTCTCCAGAAGGCAACGATAACCGCACCGTGTGCCGGGAGATCCGCCACAACTCCACGGGGTGCCTGCGGATGAAGGACCAGTGTGACAAGTGCCGGCAGATCTTGTCTGTGGGTGAGTTGGGGTCAGACTGCAAGCCGCTCCTGGGGTTGCCCATGTCCCTGGGTCACCAGTGCCTCCCTGGAGGCTACTTTCTGGGGCCGGACAGATGGGAGTTCAGATTCCAGCTCTGTGGCCTTTGAGCCGTGGCCCTGGGGCAGGTCTTAGCCTCGCACAGCCTGGGTTCCTCACTTGTAGGTCAGGGTTAAGGTGCAGGTTGTCCCAAAGCCGGGGATCCGTAGGTGCAGTGCCCACCACCTCATCCAGCCCACGGCAGACACTGCTGTGCTTTTTGAAAAAAGCCAACCTGCCTTGATTTCCCCAGTCACCCTGTTCCCAAGTGCCAAGCACGGTAGGCATCCTCATTTTCACTGCAGATATGAAATTTTAGACAGTATGTATTTTGTTTAACAAAACTCCCCAAGTGCCAGGCACTACTGTGAACGCTTTACACACATTTCCTCGTTTCCTTGGAATGATCCTGTGGGTTGGGTACAATTACTGTCCCTCTCTAACAGGGGAGGAAGCTCAGTCATAGAAAGGTTAAGTGATTGATTCAAGATTGCGTGGCCCCCAGGTGTTCGGGGTCTGCTCTCCACCAGTGCTGCCAGCAACATTCCCTCTGGCTGGCTGATCCTTTAGGCAAAGGCAACATCACTCTTCAGCCATCCCCATCTGTTTCTTCAGATCTGGTCGTTGATTAACTCTTCCCGCTTTGTAATAACAGCAGTAAAAGTATTTAGAATGCTTCCTGGTACACAATAGTCCGTGCTCACAAAGAGTTAATTTGTTCCCCTTGTAAATAGCTTATCAATCCTGTGGCTTTGCTCTTACCTAATCAGTTTGGGTTGGCCAGGGCAGGCCTTCAAAGTCTAGTTAAATATTCCTAGCTCATCCCGGTCATTTTGAAAGCCACCGCAAACTAAACAGTAGTGCTTGAAGAGGCTGAGATGTGAAGAAATCGTGGATCAGAACACAACCCAGCCTTCAGGCTTTCCCCATAAAGATATCATAGAATAGTAGGAATCACACAGCACCTCACCACGAGAACATTAGTCCCACTAGGGCTAGAGGAAGATGTACGATGCCGGGCTCAGATCGGATCTCTCCCACCCACCCTAATAGTCATCGATCAGGTAAACAGTCTCCTTTACTGCACGGGGATGTCCCACTGCCCCTTCTTTAAGGTGCCTGCAACCACGTGATCAGGTGCTGCCCTAGAACTCTAGACTGGGATGCCTTCATTAAACAGCACTGTGGACATTTGGGGCTGGACCTTCCTTTGTCGTGGGGGCTGTCGTGCAGCAGCATGTCCCCGGGCTCTACTCACGAGCTGCCAGTAGCTCACTCCCCCTGTCGTGACAACCAAAAATGTCTGCAGAACTTGCCAAATCTTCCCTGTTGAGAACTACTATTCTGCTGAGTGGGGGCTGTCGTGCAGCAGCATGTCCCCGGGCTCTACTCACGAGCTGCCAGTAGCTCACTTCCCCTGTCGTGACAACCAAAAATGTCTGCAGAACTTGCCAAATCTTCCCTGTTGAGAACTACTATTCTGCTGTGTCTTGGTTCTCAAGGACTTCTCTTATTTTTTAATTATTTCCTGGTGAAAGAGTTAAGGTTATTCATTATCTAATTCTTTTCAACCTGGCTTCTTGTGAGTAATCCTATTTCTTGCCCCACCTAACATTTTATTTTCATATTTTTATTTATTTTAAAAATAATTTACGGGGAGAAAAACAGCAGTTTTAAAGAGATAGTGGGTGGTTTCCAGCTCTTATAAATCTGACAACCTACTGTGGGCCCTCTGGGAATTCTATTTCCTTGCCCTCCCAAGGAGCTTGGTGAACAGCCACGGGTGGGCAGGTGGGATTTGCGGCCCAATGGTCTTGGCCAGCTCTACTGCTGCATGGGCTTTTGGGACCAGAATTGCCAACTCTGCAGATATGCTTAAAAGACATGCTTGGAGAATTTTCCAGAAACACAGACCCAGAGTAGGAAGAGCCCAAGTTAGGAGTTAAAGCCCTGGTTCAGTTCTGCCCCATAGTTTGTTTCTTCTGTGACTTTAGGCAAGTTGTTTACTTCTGTCGGCCTCAATTTTATTATTGCTAAAATAGAAGTATCAGTGCTTAAGTCAGAATAGATCTGATTACTAGAGAAGAGGGACGTCGGGATCACCTTACGTGGCGTCCGGTATGTAGCAGGTGCTGCACATGTGACAGCTATAGGTGATGCTCCCCTGCCCTGGAGATGATGCCTGCAGTTTACTTCTGTCGGCCTCAATTTTATTATTGCTAAAATAGAAGTATCAGTGCTTAAGTCAGGATAGATCTGATTACTAGAGAAGAGGGACGTCGGGATCACCTTACGTGGCATCTGGTATGTAGCAGGTGCTGCACATGTGACAGCTATAGGTGATGCTCCCCTGCTCTGGAGATGATGCCTGCGGGTGGGAGTAGCTCCAGGTCTGAGCACACAGCACTCAGGATCAGTGCTTCTCAAGGTGTGGTCAACACTGTTGGTTCCTGGTCGTCCAGAAGATAAGGGTCTGGCACCCGGAGATAAATCAGTTATGTCACTAAGCACACCGTTTAGTTCAGCTGCCGCAAGTTTCCAGAGCAAGACTTTCTTAATGAAACAAACAGCGTCTTGATTCCCATGCTGGCGGGGGCTCTGCTTTGTCGCAGACGGTCTGTGGACCGCCACCGAGTGTAACGCTGCTTTCTGCCTTCTGTGCTTTGCATCTCTGGGCAGACTGTTCGGCCAGCAACCCCTCTCAGAACCAGCTGCGGCAGGAGCTGGACGATTCCCTTCGGGTCGCTGAGAGGTTGACCACGAAGTACAACGAATTGCTGCGGTCCTACCAGCGGAAGATGCTCAACACCTCGTCCCTGCTGGAGCAGCTTAATGAGCAGTTTAGCTGGGTGTCCCGGCTGGCCAATCTCACCCAGGGCGAAGACCAGTCCTATCTCCGGGTCACTACGGTGAGTCGTGTCCCAGCCTCACACTGAAGTCAGGGGCCCAAGGTGTGGTCTGGAGGTGATGTGAGCCTCCCCAGGGGTGAAGTGGGGTGAGGACACTAAAGGGGCCCCGGTGCTTTGACTGAGCATTTGATCCCACGGCAAGAAATGTAAAAGCTCTAGGAGCCTGGTTGCATTGCAGCCTCATCAGCCAGTGAGGTCAAACATCATGAGCCCCTTTCACAGATGAGGAAAGCGAGGCTGGTTGCATAGCTCGCCCATGGCCAGGTGGGTCGAGCTGCCTCACCTGGTGTTGAAGCCTGGCTGCCCAGCTGCAAGGCCCGTTTGCTTTTCTCGGAGCTGCCCTACCTGTGCTCTGTGGAATGGTGCAGGAATTGGCTCAGCGTTCTCGCCAGTGGTAAAAACTTCTCTCGCGTGGTGTTATAACACCAAGGTCAAGGGTTCAGATCCCCACCCTGGCTAGCCGCCAAGAAAACCTGTTTTCTCTCCAGGACTGTGAACCCTCTTTTTTCTCTTTTTCTTCTTTTTTTCTGATTACTTTTCTAGCAAAGTCTGGTCAGTGGCTGCCCGAAGTAAACATTTAGAAACCACATTCACTCTTCAGAGCGCCTCCTGGGCTGGTCCTTTGCAGGTGGCATTTACCCCTACAAATGAGTGTCTGTGGATGAGGGTACTTCTGTGCACTGAGTTGTACAGATGCCTAGATTAATAAAAAGTGAAAGGGCCAACTTCAAATTTTCCAGAAGGAGGGGGAAGAACTTCTGTATTATAAGCTTGACTTTTCTTGCAAAATGCGTGCATTGTGACCATAATGTTTGGTTTCTCCTTTTTTTTCCTTCTAGGTGTCTTCCCACACTTCTGACTCAGACGTTCCCCACCATGGTTTCACCAAGGTGGTTGTGAAGCTCTTTGACTCTGACCCCATCACTGTGACGATTCCAGAAGAGGTCTCCAGGAACAACCCTAAATTTATGGAGACCGTGGCAGAGAAAGCGCTGCAAGAATACCGTAAAAAGACCCGGTGAGTGGTCAGGCCTTCCCTACAGTCCTTTGGGAACCAACAGGTCCCTGGGAGCCAAAAAAAAAAAGCAGAGTACACAGCCTGGTGGACATGACTGCTCCTGTAGCCAGAGTCCAAGGACAAAGCCAGGAAATCACCGGGAATTTTATTTTCCCTTTAGAGGATGTTTCTTCCTTGGTGGATAAGAATTTGAGTGTTGGTCACTGCCTCTCAGGGAATACTGAGCCCTCCCCCCTGCCTCGGCTTTTTTATTTCAGAGAGGAGTGAGATGCAGGCGTTGCTTTTCCATATTCGGGGGCATCTGAGTCCAGCTCCCCCTGAAATGAGCCACAGCACCCCAGAGAGAGCTCTGCACGTCACCAAGTGACCAGGCCCTGGCTTCTAGGCCCCCCTGACCGCCCCCCACTGCCTCACCACCCTCTGGATTCTGCACTCTTAACACCTGCTTGTGAAAGAAATGCTCCTGCATGCAATTAATTCAATAAAACTGCCTTGTGATCTGATGCTCTGAGTGTCCTCGTTTTGTGTGTGTTTTTCTACCTCTCGCATACCTTCATTTTGATATGGAAAAAAAAAGTAGAAATAAGAAACAGCAGCTAAGATGGTTCAGGCAGCGTAAAGGGTTAAGATGACAAAGTTGATCCAACTCAAGAATTTCTTGCTTTCAGGAAGAGAGATGTGTTTCAATTAAAATAAATTCCTGAAAAACGAATCTTTTCCATCCTATTATTAAACTGTCCATGTATTCTGACCAGGGCGGAGTCAATCTCCTGAAGGAATATGTTGAAAATTAGGGCAAAGAAGGAGTAATAATGCATACTGGGTATTCAATACAGTTATTTTCCTTATGGAAACTGTAGTCCTCAAAAGACAAAACGAAGCAGTTTTCTTTCTAGTTGTAAGAGCTTGGAATCCCTGGGGCACCGGTACAGGGATCTGCACCGTTGACCTTGGCGTTGTAACACCGTACTCTAACCAGCTGAGCTAACCAGCCAGCCCCCTGGGGCACCTCCTTGACTGTGGCATTGTCTATCCACTGGATCTCTGTGCTCTTTCTCTCTATCCCTAGACCCCGTTTCTCTGTTCAGGTTGTTCTGGGTGACATTCGCGGCTCAGCCTGAAATATGCAGTGCCCCGTATGCTGCCAGCAGGTGGCCCTGACTAGCCACAGTGTTTATCTCAGTCTTAGAGCTGTTCACCAGCTATACTGAGAATGGAAAAAAAATCACGTGGTGGCATCCCAGGCTTGAAGCGAAGTCCACATGTAAACCCATAGCTTAGAATATCTTTAGATCACTGTCCCTTGTCTCTCTTAAAGTTTAAGCACCTCAGCCACACAGCAGCAAGCTCTTAAGACTTAGCATATGTCTGAAGTCAGTGTTTTAGTGTTGCTATCAAGGGAACTCAGAGTAAAGCTAGAATGGCTCCTCAGTGGTTTGAATTAATTAGGGTTATGGGTCAGAAGACACTTGTTCAAAGGAACATAACTGCAAATCACTTATCATGTTAACTTCACACAGCACGTTTGAAAAGTTATTTTCTCTTTTCCATTGTTAACATTGCTAGATTCTGGCAGTCGCTATATCTAGTGGTTTTGTTGTTGTTGTTGTTTTAAAGATGACTGATAAGGGGCTCTTGACCCTTGACTTGGTGGTGTCAGCACCACGCTCTCCCAAGTGAGCTAACCGGCCATCTCTATACAGGGATCTGAACCTGTGGCCGTGGTGTTATTAGCACCACATTCTCCCAAGTGAGCCATGGGCTGGCCCTCCAGTGTTTTTCTTAAAGTGCACCTACTTTAAACTCACATATACAAGCACCCTAAAAGGCAGATCCAAAAGCCGACTCTGAGGTTCCCTGACATCCCCTCTCACTCTGCACAGTGGCCTGTGGGTTTGAGGGTCCTTGGAAACTCCTCCATCCCCAACAGAAGTTCCAACCTGAGGCACTAGAAAGATTGAGGCAGGACACGAGATCGCCAAGGTGTGGCGACAAGAGGTGGGTGAGCCTGGCTGGAAGACTGTGGGTAAGGAGCCCTTGGTTTCCAGCTTCCAGGACTCTTGGGGCACGGGGGAGAGGGCTTGATGTTCTGAGAAGAGGAAGTTTTGACATCTGCCTGGAAAGGGGGCAGCGCCAACCTGCCATCAGCCTGTGTTGACACTCCACTGTTACCTGCCAGAAAATTGTAATAAGATACAATCTCTGATGACTGACTACAAGATGAGATGGTCCTGGAGTTGTGCAGTGCACAGCCTGTATAACTGTGAACAGCGGCCCCGGGCCAACCAAAGTGCTCTGACAGCTGGGCCAATTGCTTTGTGTAATCCGTTAGGTCTCCCAATTGCCCTGAAGGCAGGGGTTAGTTCCCCCATAGTACAAAGGCTTCCTGGAGTAGCCTGCACCAGAGAAGTGTCGTGTGGCTGGGGTAGCCAGAATGTGGGAACACCCCACCCCAATTCCTCGTGGCCCATGGAGGCTGTTGAAGAACTCTCAGGGTTGCTCTCCTCACTGGGAAGTAGCAGGCACTGCGGAAGGGGTGGGAGCCAGGAAGCTGCCAGGTGTGCAGAGCGGAGCCGTGCTGGTGGGGCTGGGACGGCATGAGGACCATTCTTTGATGGGGGTGGGGAAGGAAGCATCTGATTTGGGAATGAGACCGACCGCTGTATTAACTGTGAAGTCATCAGGAAGTAAAAGCATCTGTTTAAGATGTTGCCAAGCAGCAGACAGTGGTCAGAAGGAACGTTCTGATGTTTATGCCTCTGAATGAGTTGAGACTCACAATAAACTGGTTCTAGGAGCTGTTATCCACAATTAAGCATGAGGTTGACACTGAGGTATACCTGGAGAATCCACTGTGAGTAAATTGTAGAAAGAATAAGGACCATTTATGTGCAGTCATACGGCTAGTGAGCGGTAGAGTTGGGATTGAACCCAGGTCTGATTCCAGGGGTCCCAGAAATTCACTGCCACCTTTTGGCTGCCCGGGGCTTCCCACTTCAGTGTCCTCCCCAGACCCAGCATTGCCAGGTATTTTCTAGCTGTAATAGAACAGTTTGGCAAACCCAGAAAGTATAAAATAGCTCTAGATACAGTGCAAAAAGGACTCGGCTCTTCAGAGTTTATTCGTAAACCGGCGATCACCAAATCAGCCCATATGACAACAGTACATGTCAGAGCCCGTGGACCTCATTTGCAAGGTTAATAGCGAACTCTCTGTTTGCCTTGGAGCTGCCCTCGCGTGTTAGTCTGGTTAATCTCTGATCCCAAGCCCTTGGTCACCAGCCTCCTAGATTATGACATTGCTCAGTGTTGGCTGGGCAACGCCGCAGGTCGTAGGGCCCCTCCCGCCCCTGCCCCCACCACTCACTGAAGTCCAGTAGTGGCCTCCAGCCAGTTCTGGTCCACCCAAGGCAGGGTGGGGGCTTCATCAGGGTAGAATGGGGACAGGGAGAGATACAGCACCGTGGCCTGCCCTCTCTCGTCTGTGGCCACCAGCACCAGGGGAATGAAGATCGTGACCTTGAATCAGATCAGTTTCAGACATTCTCCCACATCTTGGCTTCCAGTCCCTATTGGGTGCCCAATCCAATAAAGACTCGAACCCAACCCTAAGGTATGTCACTGGGATAGGGTGACAGGTGGACCATTTACTCCAGCCTCACATTCCTAAGGACACTTGTGACATCTTTGCAAATGACTTCCTGTGTATAAATCCACGAAAGACACTGACATCATCAAAGGAAGGTGTTCATTTTCCAGACTTAAACCTGTGTCCCATCACCTGCCCCTGTGCCATAAGGGCACAGATGTTTGCTTTTTTATTTTTATTTTTTTTGCGGCTGGCCGATGAGCTGTTTGTCTTTTTTGTTTTGTTTTGTTTTTTGACCGGTAAGGGAATCGCAACCCTTGGCTCGGTGTTGTCAGCACCACGCTCAGCCAGTGAACGCACTGGCCATCCCCATACAGGATCCAAACCCACGGCCTCGGCGCTACCAGCACCGCACTCTCCCCAGTGAGCCATGGGGCCGGCCCGTGAGTTATTTGTTTTTAAAACTGTATCCCGCATTATCTTGAGCACAGCCCAGTATCACCTCACTCTGTGTGTGTGAAGGCATGTCAAAAAACTTAAAACCAACCAAAATTTGGATAATTGTATTTTGGAATTTGCTGGAAATGTCTGGGCCTCTCTTGACCTCTGAAAGGTCCTGCCATACAGGGAAGAAAACCAGGTTCGAAACTAAGATACGCTGGCTCAGGTATCTAGTGCATCTCTGCTCAGACTTGGCGGCCTGTTCTTTCTGCTCCAGTTTGTGGGTTCCTCCTCGAGCACCCAGCCCTCGGGATTAGGGTACACATAGCCATCTGTGCGGCCGCCACTCTCCTGTCCTCGGCTTAGCTCCTGCCTTTGGCCTCATTTTATTAACTTTGGACCTAAGGACATGACCTTCCTTGTAAGGGACTTGGGGATATCCTTGCGAAGTTTGAAACCAGCTGTTGTGTACAGAACTCTTTCTTCTTTGCAAGCCCCTAGTGCCTCCCTCAGGGTTGTCCCTTCTCTGCGCCATCCCTGGTCACTGTTTGGGACCAGCAGGCTGAGCATTGAAGTCAGAGGCCGGCCACTTCGTTTCTTTCCAGACAGCTGCCACCAGGGGGCGCCCTGAGTCCCTGTTGAGGAGCCGACAGAGGACACTGCCCTTAGGGATTAGGTCAGCCAGGCTGTCTTCCCTCCAACGGTGGCCTTCATTGCCCTCCCCAGGTCAGTTCTGCCTTACCTGCCTCCCTTATTGCAGGTTACAAAGCCTTATGTCTCCTGCAGCCCTTCCCACGCAGGTGGACAAATTGACTGCCAATTTTGGGTATCCCATCCGGAGACACCCACATCTGTCTCTGGCCATTCAATGTCCAGGGTATTTGGGGAGGCTTTCTGAGTGGTGGTCAGGATACTGCAGGCGCTGGAACCCTCAGGGCTCACTTGGACCTCTCTTTCTCAGCTCTGCACTTGATGCATGTAGGGCAGGGGGCCACCCACGGTCCACTCAGTCCACTGGGTGAGATTTGCACATTTCCTTTTGGACACTCAAGGCCCCACAGCCCCGATGCTGTATTATGATTTAGTTTCCCACTGGCCAGGGAGGCACCACCCCTCATCCTCCCACTGTGTCCAGCCCAGCGCACCATCTCCCAGCTTTAGCACCCACGACTTCCCGTTTCCTGAGCTGAGGAGAGTGTGTGCCACAGGAGGCAGAGCTGGCTAACCTGGCCAGGGGGACCTGGAAGGAGAGAGAGTGTGCGGGGCATCCACGACATCCTCGGAGGCCAACTTGCGGCTTATCACACACCCATCGATGCCGAAAGGACTCTGCAATGAGAACTTTCAGGAAAGACGATCTCCAGGCATCAAAAGATCCCAAATCAAAGGCAGAACCAAAAAGAGCATCCAGATCCTCTGGTAGTTGGAAAGTGTTTCCAGAATATTCAATTGCCTCAGCCTTCCAGGGGTTAA